AATTTTCTGCAGCATGTGAAGTTTATGACTGAGTAACTGTGAATGTGTAACCATAGTCAATAGAAATAAAAATGTTAGGAAACTCAATGCAGACATAATAGACCTCGTTATCTATAAAAGAAATGGTTGGTTCATCGTCACATATGTATTGTCTTTTCGCCCAACCAACCAATAATAGCAGTGAATAATAGCAGTGTGTTGGTTAAAAATTACCCAGTTATGATGAACACAATGGTCAGATGAAAACGTAACTTAGTAGCTATTGGTTGCTCTGGTGAAAATACGATGCACATGTGACGATGAACCGACCATTTTTTGCATAAACCTTTTGTAATGAGGTCTATTATGTTTGCATCAAGTACTGTAGATACAAGACTAACAGTAAGAATTACAGTACAGTAACAATGAGTGAGAATAAGTAGTAAAATTAAGATTAAGTTTAAGTTAAGATGTTTTAGGGTCAACCAATTTTATCGACATTCTTTACCCATTTTGATTTTTAGGTTGTACCAAAATGCCCAATTTTTAAGTACTGTTACAGCATTGTTTCTTTATGCCATTTATTATACAGCAGATATGGTCTACATTCGGTATTTTCCTTGTAGATGCAATAACTGATGAGTATATATATGATAATAATCAACTTGATAGCAGTGCTTATGGTAGTATGGATGAAATGGATGATATGCCACAAGGTTTGTACAGTAGATATTGTACAGTATCACAGAATGTATAGATTAAGTTCTTTGTATAGTGATTGACTGATTGTGCAACAATCGGAAATTACCGATTATTCATGCATGGCACAATCTGCCAGTACCGATGCCGATTTTGTAATGACGTCATAAGATCAGTCGACCGATTAAGGTGACGTCTTTCGTGTCGATTTTTAACGATAATTTCCAACGTAACATGTTACTGCAACCAAAGATTGTTAAAACCGTTAATAAATGGGAAGCGTGACGCATTAATTTAACATATTGCGTTAAATCGCAACGTGTGTCAACGTGCAATGCATATAATTTTTGAAGTGTGCATTTTCTCAACAATCGGTTTTCGACAATCGGAAATATAGAAATATAAAATTCTATCGATTCCGATTGTCTACCGATAGGGCAAAAATCGGCTCGATACCGATAACGATTATCGGTTAGTCACTATCTTTGTACGCTTGCATGGCAAGAAATATAACTTGTTTTGGTTTGTGAAAAACACGACGTAGATTTATTCTTGCAATAATATATGCAATAATATACGTGGTGTTTTAATAATATGTACACTACCAATATGCAATAGATGCAATATACTGTAATATACTTGCGTTAACATATCCGATAATAATATACTGTATATACTCCGAGCACCGTAGTACACCCTTCCGGCAAGCAGGTCACTTTGGCTATCGAGCCTCGTTTTTGTGATTGAGTCACAAACTAGTGTCACATACACGAAAACGAGGCTTTGTGGCCAAAATGTACTTCCTTTCCGAAAGGTGTACTGGGGGGACCTGTGGTGGTTTCCCTATAGCCCGTATATATATATATATATAGATTAACAATTGCATACGTAATTGTATTATTGTAGATAGGAATGTGTTGGAGCTCAGGGGCCGGTTATTCAAAAGCCAGTTAGGTTTATCCTTCGCCGAGGTTAACAAAAAGCTTCAAAGCAATCTCTTCAACAGCTTGGTTATAAAGTTGGAGATCTTTTTCCAGAAATCATGTCTGGATGAATAGAAATCTTATTTTCAAAAGTTTGAAACAAACGAACAGGCAGAAATACACAAACCAACACAGGGGGTTAAATTCTAACCAAGACTTAGCGCTAATCCAACTTTGAACAACCGGCCCCATGAGTAGGCCGTCGTGCAGTGGATATAGCTAAGAAACCGTGAATACTAGTTAGCCCTAAAAATTAGCCCTAAAACACTTTGAGGTGTCCTTCGTCAGGACAGTTAACGCCTCTCAGTGCGCAGCTCAGTAAACTAGAGCGACGTCGGTGGGGTAGTCATCAGAGCAAGCGCCTTTCATCTCGGAGTTCGTGGGTTCGATTCTCGCTATGGACTCATGTGAAAAGAGTCAGTCAACGCTCTGCCGAAAGTCATGGGTTTTCTCCGAGTGCTCCGGTTTCCTCCCACAGGGAAAGTTGACAGGGTGGGTTAGGATAAACACAGTTAAGAAAGTAATATCTCAATTGTCGTAAAGATAAAATAGTCTAGGCTAAGCATGTAATTAGGTAAGCGTAATACTTGATGTAAAGCGAATTTGATCATATTATCCACATGTAAATTTACGCTATAGAAATACTAAATTAAATCGTAAATTAATGCTAATCGTAAACACATGGGTGAACTGTTACAATGAAAATATTCCGTAATTCTCAAATGTAACTTGGCAAGCGAGCACCGGAACCTGCAAATGTGAAAAGCTTGAAATCGGTGTCAATGGAGTGAGTAGACTTGCTCCAAGTCTCTCTTTCATTGTCATATAGTATCGATCCACTATAGTGTACATTACATGACGTAGTACGGAGGGGCGGAGCGAGAAAGTGAGACTTGTCAACTTCGGAAAATCTCGGTTCAAAACTGAACCGAAAATGCAACGTTTTAATTGTTTTCCTTCAATTTCTTTCTCTATTATTTACTATAATGGAACTCGTGTTATTTACACTGTGCTAGATCAATACATATAAACACTGACAGAAAACAATTAAAGCAAGTCTTGCATTTTCGGTTCAGTTTTGAACCGAGATTTTCTGAAGTTGACAAGTCTCTCTTTCTCGCTCCGCCTCTCTGCGCTACGTCATGTAATGTACACTATAGTGGATCGATACTATACGACAATGAAAGAGAGACTTGGAGCAAGTCTATGGAGTGAGCGGTATAGCTTTCCATAACTTTGTTTTATCATAAAACTGCTGTACTGTAGTTCCATGTCTGTACTTTCTCCAGATCAAACAAGTTTTTTTCTCATTCCCCTTATATATATGGAACCTTTTAATACATTCGGCATACCTATAATAACGTACTAGGCAAATAATATATACTAACTAAACCTACGAAATATAATATTGAATTTTTATAATATTGAATTTAGAATGTTGAGCAATCCATCACTTAATTAGTTCAATTCATGTAGATGTATTGTTCCACATTCGCATACAATCCTCTATTCTGTAGGTCCTATATTACGGCGCTCAGCAGTTGGTAAAGATAATACTACGAAATCTAATCCTCAACAAAGTACGTTCCAATCAGACGATATAGATGAAGAACCACAAGGTTTGTTTGAAAGAATATATGGTTTTGTATAAACGTAATTATGTAAAGCATTGCAAAACTGATTCTTCGGTAAATTATATTTAAATTTCATTAGAGAATTGCGGTGGTACAGTCCGGTCTCATGGGTGATCTTGTTTGACAAAATTAAATTACCAAGGTAGCTCGATCAGGCTTTAAACTACTTGCATTACGAGCTGGACACTCCAATGTACGCATGCGCAGAACGGACTGTACCGCATCTTTGTCTCAGCACTACAGCAATTAGTCCTTTACATTCATTGGCAAATGGACTTCCTGTCGCGAAATTACCGATGCCGCGTGAATATTTTGACTCAAGTTCTTTAGAGGATAAGACAGTCTATCTGCCGCAAGTGCAAATCACGACAATGTTTAAAATTATTATATCATTTATATGGATATGGGTGTTTTACTGGAAACTAAACTTTTCACTAGTGAATTATGAAAAAAATATGTAACGCGTGTGTTTCCTCGCGCGACCGTCGCGAGTTTTCCCGCTTTGTTTTGTTTTTATCAACAATGGCAGCCCGAGTTTTTTCTGAAGTTTTTGACAATGACTTAATACGATTTTCGGAAGAAAACGGGAACGATTTTACGTTTTTGAATTTGTAATTATAGGCCTACACAAGTTTCATGCGGTTTCCAAATAAAGTCTGTTCTTATTGAGTTTCTTTTCATTTTTGTCCATAATGACTCCATATGAAAAGAACATCACACGGAGGCTCGAAGATATGAATATTATTTTCTCGTGTTAAAAACAATATTTTACTCACTCGCTGCGCTCATTCGCAAAATATTGTTTTTACCACTCGAAAATAATATTCATATTTTCTCGCCACCGTGTGATATCCTATATTTATTTATCACACTGCAATTCCCTGTGTGAAGGGGATGTCTGAAACGTACGCCAAGTACGTGACAAACCCCACGGACTTCCGTCATCATCCAGCGTATTTGATTACAAACCAAGTGTACAGTGCACTTGTTGTGTGATATATTATGCCGTACTAGTGATGCACCGATATGGAAATTCACCAATATTCCGATAACCGATATTGAAGGACCGATATTTTGCCGTTACCAATACCGATATTCTATGTTATTTCACAAAATTCAAAGATGACATCATGACAGTTCTACTTTAATACTTAATTCAATTCGTTTGTTTCGAAATACTGAAAATATCAAATGAAATGCTGCAAATGCATGCAACAAACTAGTATATTACAGTACTACGCCAGTGACTGTTTATTTGTAATAAAAATAACTATTGAACTGCAACTATAAACAATCATTAATATTTAATAACAGTTTGTAATATCTGTAATATCAACAACAAAATTACCGATACCCATATTTCTATTTTAGTACCGATAAGCCGATACTGATACACTGATATGGATATCGGTGCATCACCAGGGGTTTATCCAAGCAATTTTGCTGACCCCCGTTTTAGAAAAGAAGATTCAGTTTTTCTGACGCAGGAATGTAGCAAAGGGGCAAAGTCCCTGAAAGATTTTGCTACTTCCGCATCTTAGACTATGTTGCCGCTTAATTCGTTGCTCGGATGTAACCGCGTGGTTTGTGATTGTAAACATTGCGCGCGCAATATGCATCGATGTACTCATATTCGAGCGTATTTTGGCTGCGGCTTTTTCACTCTTCCAGCTCAAGGTTGTGTAAATTTTAGATTTTAATTCGAAAAATTTACTTTCTATTTGTAATATTAAATTTTTTGTTATTCTTCAATCATTCCATTTTGTGCTGATTTGATCGAAATATTTATCAGAAATCCAAACATGCATGCCATCTAAGCATGGTGGGCACAAGACACAAAATATACGATAGAGGTAGCTTTATAACATAAACATGACGTTTTATTTTGAAAAACAAAACAGCTCAAATAACCCTGTTTCTTGGAATTCCAAAAACTGAAGCGTGTGAAAATGATTTTTTGTTGTTTTTTCTTTTCGTTGGGGGAAAGATTCAGTTTAAAAACTCAATCCAAGATTGATTTTTGACCCATGTCTCGCTGTTTTGCCTGTGTCAGGATCAGTGAGCTCTATACATATCATCTGGAGCAAGAACTTCAGTCATTTGGACCCAGTATATATGGAGCTCACTGGTCAGGGAAACATGAATCTATAACAAGAAGACATGTTGAGCAACCGCCAGTGATCCCAAACTCAATATGCGCAAGATAATGTGCAGACGGGTATAAATTGTCAATTATGTCTTCGTACTTCGTTCTCTTGCTCAACACTCTAATGTCACATGCATGAAAACGAGGCTCTATAGCCAAAGTGACGTATTTAATGATAATCTACTGTGATTTCACGTTAAATTTCTATACAAATCAATGTAGCTCCTATATTACGGCGCTCAGCACTTAGTAAAGACAATACCACGAAATCTAATCTTCAACAAACGTTCCAATCAGAGGATATAGATGAAGAACCACAAGGTTTGTTGAAAAGTCCACATATGCTTTGATTTCCTGTAAATCTAGACCATTGCCAAAAATACATGTTGTAAATGTTGTACAGTATAGGCTATAGTAGCTAGCTTTTTCATACTTTTGGTTCTGTTGGTAAAGTACAGTATACATATTATGCAGTCTGCGTGAAGTAAATGGTATTTAGTATTAAAGGAAGTGTGGGCAAATATAGGAAGCAGATAAATATTTGGGTTTTAGATCCCCAGATAATTTTATACTGTAGAAATTTTTTAGAAACGTTTTGCACACTTCCATAGTATGGATATTTTCCAGAAAGAAGCGTGGAAATTTTCTAGAAAACCTAGAAAATGTATGGAAATGGTTCAAATTTTCCAGTGATATTCCTTTGTTAAACGCTTTTCTCAACTTCAGACAGGTGTAAATGATTTGGTGCCTAGAGCCCCCTACCCTCTCCATTCCCAACTTTCATGTGTATAATCATGCATTAACACAGTAGTGTTTTTATGTAGGTCCCATACTCCGAAGATCAGCTCTTGGCAAAAACAGTCCTAAAATTAGTCAGTCCGATGATATGGATGATGAAATGCAAGGTAACAATTTTGTGCCATAATAGAAGAAGAGATGCATTAATCCTTAGGATGTCTTTCAAATGACAACGAAAGCACAATGTGCATGCATGAGCATAATTTCGAGTGTGAATTGATGAGACCTAACCAGGACTCAGGAACAGTTGCGAAAAATGCAACTATAGGCCTTCGGACAGTAATCGAACCGGCGGCCCTGCGATTCCTGTGCAGCGCTCAAACCAACTGAGCTACAGAGGCCAGTTGTCGAGCTCTAACTGCAAGTTCATGTGTATATACAAACTGCAAGTTCATGTGTATATAGAAACTGCAAGTTCATGTGTATATACAAACTGCAAGTTCATGTGTATATAGAAACTGCAAGTTCATGTGTATATACAAACTGCAAGTTCATGTGTATATACAAACTGCAAGTTCATGTGTATATACAAACTGCAAGTTCATGTGTATATACAAACTGCAAGTTCATGTGTATATACAAACTGCAAGTTCATGTGTATATACAAACTGCAAGTTCATGTGTATATACAAACTGCAAGTTCATGTGTATATACAAACTGCAAGTTCATATGTATATACAAACTGCAAGTTCATGTGTATATACAAACTGCAAGTTCATGTGTATATACAAACTGCAAGTTCATATGTATATACAAACTGCAAGTTTATGTGTATATACAAACTGCAAGTTCATGTGTATATATACAAACTGCAAGTTCATATGTATATACAAACTGCAAGTTCATGTGTATATACAAACTACAAGTTCATGTGTATATACAAACTGCAAGTTCATATGTATATACAAACTGCAAGTTCATGTGTATATACAAACTGCAAGTTCATATGTATATACAAACTGCAAGTTCATGTGTATATACAAACTGCAAGTTCATGTGTATATACAAACTGCAAGTTCATGTGTATATACAAACTGCAAGTTCATATGTATATACAAACTGCAAGTTCATGTGTATATACAAACTGCAAGTTCATGTGTATATACAAACTACAAGTTCATGTGTATATACAAACTGCAAGTTCATGTGTATATACAAACTACAAGTTCATGTGTATATACAAACTGCAAGTTCATGTGTATATACAAACTGCAAGTTCATGTGTATATACAAACTGCAAGTTCATATGTATATACAAACTGCAAGTTCATGTGTATATACAAACTGCAAGTTCATGTGTATATACAAACTGCAAGTTCATATGTATATACAAAGGTGATGCCAAGGTGTATGGTAAATATCAGGATTTTGGGCGTTTTACATAATTGACATATCTACAAAACTCGTCTACATCGATTGTAGATGCGCAGAATCCTGATGTGAGCATAGTTCGTTAAGGCCCATTTCCACCAACACCGCGGAAAAACGTCTGCGCATGCGTCAACCTTACCTGTAATAGTATTGCGAACTTGATGAGAAGCTGTTCCGAACGCTTCCGAAGGCTCAAAATGGCGGTAAAAAGGAGTGACTTCATTGTGCGTCTTTACGGCCAGATTTCGAGCGCAAAAATAAACATGTCATTCTAAAAACTAGGAATAAATACAGCCAGAAGGTTCAAGAAATTGTATTGTACAAGAACATGAACTAAAGGTGATTGTTGACAAATTTATCGTCTGAAACATTTTGTTTGTCAACTAAGCAACGACAATTTCCGAATTTTCGTTTGAGATACATTTCTTTAAAAAAAGCTGTGTCGCCAAATATAAAAAATTTTCGTGTTCACAATAATTAAACTTTAGAATTTATTCTACAATTAGAGTTGGTTAAGAAGCTTAACTTTTCGAGAGTTTTCTTAACTTTTGAGTTTGAATTTTTGTTTTGAATAATTTTGCAAAAATTTTCGAAGTCGTGTCCGTTAAAATCAACATTTTTTACATGAATTATATTTCATTCCATACTTTAAATGCCAGGACGCTTTCAATTAATGTCTAGTCTACCCATTTGCTATATTTTCTCGTTTGTTTTACTAATTTTTGACCAATTAATAAGCATGTTTTTGTTTTAGAAATTGATATTCAAATTCCCCGCCATATTTTTATAATTTGGTGCATGCGCAGACGTTTTTCCGCGGTGTTATTTCCACCACAGTGTTGACCAATAATATTTTACAAAATTTTCTTTCCGCGGAAAATTTTCCTGAGTGGAAATGGGCCTAAAAATGTGATTGAGCGACACAAATTTTCCGTCGGAAAAGAATTTTGAAGTTGAAAATTTTCAACTTTTAACAATGATATTTTCGGAAAATTTTCTGTCCGTGGAAATTTTTCTTGAGTGGAAATGGGTCTTTAGTCCACTGAAATTCAAGGAATTCAGCAAGTCGTTTACAGTTATTACTGAAATTCTCAGAACTTCATAAATAA